ACACATTTAAGTGCTTTTCTGGATCAAGGCCTACATGGTTATAAGAGCAGCTGGGAACTTTGGCAGCCAATTGGACTTGAAGGTCAACAGTGACTTGTCAGTTGACCCAAGGTTGGTTCAAGGTTGGCAAAACTTGCATTCTAGAATGCACTTTGAGTTCTACAAAGGGTAACTCCAAGAGCTATACACCACTTTTAAGAGCTGTGTGAGCTCATTTTGGGAAGCTCTGTGCATATGCCTTGTATTGGTGCTCTGAACAAGGGTGAATTCCACTCTTTAAGAATAAAGGAATGTACAAAAGATGCTCCTTTGTGTTAGCTGATAGTAGTGATGAGTGCCCATCTTGCTCACTATATATAAAATTTCACCTCCATTGGCGAGAGCACCACTGGCAATTGAAAATTACACTAGAAACTGTGCTCAAGTGCGGCTTTGCATTCCTTATAGCCTTCACCTGCTGACCATCCAGCCTATTTAATAAAATACACTATTCATCTGTATCTGTATGGTGGGAGAACTGGGCATTGTTTTACATTTTTCTGACAACTGAACATGCGGAAGTGTGAGCTACACTATATATGCATATGCATTTGCACATCAATTCTTCCTCCTTTCAGATAGGATATTCTGGTTATCCAGAGATGTGTGGTACATCAGCCGTTCTTCATTCATGTTCACACCTTAACTTGTCTTTAAAGATGGTTTTTGCTGAAAGGGGAGAGACCATTTCTGGAGGAAATTTTCATGGTGAATACCCTGCAAAGGTAATTAAGCATTTGGAGAAATATTAGTTTATTTTCTGAAATTTAAAAAAAAATCAGCTGATTCCATCAAGAGCCTCTCTTCCAGGCTCTGGACTACCTGGCAATTGGTGTCCATGAACTTGCTGCAATTAGTGAAAGAAGGATTGAAAGACTATGCAACCCATCTCTCAGTGAGCTGCCTGCATTTCTAGTCACCGAAGGGGGTCTGAATTCTGGTTTCATGATTGCGCACTGCACAGCAGCGGCCCTAGGTGAGTACACGAAGACCTAAGCAAGACTGGCAAGAGAACAAAATTAGAAAGATCAACCTATGTTAGCACTGTGATAGTTTGATAGTACTGATAAAGGAAACCCCAGAAAAAATAGCTCTCAGCTCCAGCTGTAAATTCTTCTTTTCTCCCCATGTCCAGCTGAGTTATCTGATATAGTTTGCAGCCAAGTCTCCCAGGGCCACCCAGAGGATTCAGGGGCCCTGGGGTCTTCGGCGGCGGGTCCCGAGGCGGAAGGACCCCCCGCCACGGGTCTTCGGGGCATTTCAGTGGCCTGGGGCAAATTGCCCCACTTGCCCCCCCCCCTCTGGGCAGCCCTGCCATCTCCCCTTCAGAGGCCCTGAACCTGCAAAGATTTATGTATGTGTTTAGCTCTAAACCTGTGAGCAGTCCAGCTAGGGTTGCTAACAGTCCCTTATTATAAGGGACGTCCCTTATTTTTTCATCTCTGTACAACAAGATCAGGCATTGCTGAGTGCTGCAAAAAGCAGCAAGAAATGCCCCATGTGAATTTAGGTGAGTAATGTTCATTTATTGTATTTATTTATTAACGATAATAATGATAATATTGGGGAGTGGGGTGAGTCGGGGGTGCTAAGAAAACAATCCCTTATTTTTGAAATACAATGTTGGCAACAGTAGCATTACTCAAGTGCTTAAATCTTTGTAGGACTGGAGTCTGAGTTTCGGAATGGTTAAGCGCCACAGTCCCACTTGAAATCAGTAGGAGCTAGAAGTACCCAGCACCTCTGAAAATCAGGCCCTAAAAGCACAACAAAGCTAAAAAGCAAATTATCTATGTACAAACAATTCTATTTTTGATTCTACACAAAACGTATCATTTCTATCTGTAGCCCTCCACTTCTGGGACATCCCAATCCCCAAGGGTGGTGTGGAGCCCCTTAATCTTTCCTTCTCAGGGACACAGCAATAGGCCCTGGGTGCTTAGCGCATGGTGTCTCCAGCTAGTGGTTGGGTGCATAAACCAGTAACAAGCCCTATGAGCCCCAGGCTATTACAATTCACGGGTACAGTAAATCAAACCCAACA